ATGGCCGAAAGAGAAAGAATTAATTTGAAACCCACTTTTAATTGAGGGACCCGAATTTGATAGGTCAATTCCATTCTAGATATAATGTCTCACGTCCTACAATTCTTTTTTGTTCTATCATTCACAACTCTCACATCCAACTTTAGCTTACTTTCTCTAAAATATAATGGTGATTTCATAAAGTAATGGAATTAATGAGTTATATATAACACTTAAAACATAGAGGTTAATTATTACACTTAATGTGTTCTTTATGCACATCTATTTTGCTTCTATTTTATTTATGATAACACATAACTCTCAAGTTCGTTTTACTTTTTTTATTTTTAAGAGTGAGAGATATTGTTAGAGCTAAAACATTTTTAGTTTAATAAAACTATTTTCTTTTACGATACACGAAATTCGAATTCTAAATATTACTTAAGAAAAAGTAAAATATATATTACTTTATTCATTTCTTTTCTTTTGTTATTTAGGTTTTTTTATTTTACTTAAATAAGTTAAGTTTAAATATATTTTTAATCTGTCAAATTTAGGATAATTTTTTTTTTGTCTCTCAAACTTAAAATTGTAATTTTTAGTTTTATAATTTTCAAAAATATCGTTTTAACCCTTCAGATTATTAATAACATATATGAAAGTAGTAAATTGAAACAGTTATATAATATCAATTAATCTTAATGTGATATTTTCACTAATAGAAACATTAACATATATATTTTATGTGACCGTATTTAATAGATTCTCTAACAAAATTTTAAGTATAAGGATTAAAAAAATACTTTTTGAAATTACAAGATTAAAAAGATTAATTTAAAATTTGAGGAACTAAAAATAAATTTACCTTAAATAAATTTGATGGATTAAAAACGTATTTAAACTAATAATTTATGTAAATATAATATATTTTTATATATAAAGTATAAAATCACACTCACTTCAGTTTGATAAATAACTATGAATAAATTAATGTGTTAACACTCATATTTATTTACAATTAAAAATAAATAAACCTGGTAGTAGTGTGTATTATTATCGGAGTTACCACACACATGTCTTCATGAAGATAAAATATTGTCCGCTTTGAAATTAAACTTTCACGATTTTATTTTTGGGCATCACTCAAAAGATCTCTTAACAATGAATGATATGAGACTTTGTTTCCATCCCAACAATCCTCCTATCAAACAAAAAATCATGGTTTACCCTCCATCACAAAGAAAGTTATCAATCCATGAGTATATCTAATGGTGACTCATAGAACTCATTCACATTCTAAGTACTTGCACCGTCACTCCATCTCCTAACCTGAAAAACTCTCTTCCAGACACACTACTAGAAAAATGTCATTTTCCTACGAATTTTCTTACAAAAAAATATTTACAGAAATTTTTTGCGAATTTTCTTGCAATAATAATTTCACAAATTTTTTTTACAAATTTATTTGTAAAAAATAATTTACAGATATTTCTTATAAATTTTTTTATGAAAAATAATCTACAAGAAATTTTTGCAAATTTTGCTACAATTTTAATGATCATGAAAAAAAAATTTCATGGTAAAAATTTGCAGAAAATATTGTAAGAATTTTATTTTTTTTCTTGCAGATTTTCTTGCAAAAATAAATTCGCAAGTAATATTTACTAAAAAGTAGAAAAATTTTACAGGTAACTTTTCTTGCGGATTTTCTTGCCAATTTTAATTTGCAAAAAAAATTAAATTTTTTTTTAAAATTTATAAGTTTAATATTTTTAAAAAACTTCAAGTCCCACATCGATTGAAAATCAGACAATTAAAGAGTATATAAGTTGAGACAACACTTACCTTACAAGTTAATTTGTATGGTTGAGTGTTAGACTTATACTCTACAATCTTAGAATTTAAAAGATTATGTATCACATGTTGGAGGTGTGGAAACAAATATTTCGAATGAGTTCATTATGAGCATTTGAAAGAGAAAGAATTATTTATAGTAATTTCTTTAATTTTTTTCATAAAAATTATTTATAGTAATCTCTTATTACATGCAGAGTTTCTAGCAAAAAAATTGGCTGAAAACATTCCTGCGAATTTTTTTTTCGCAGGAAAGTTTCTTACGAATTTTGTTTAAAAAAAATTAATTTTATACTTTTAACTTTCAATTTGCTTCTTTCTTCTTTTTATTTACACACTTTTTTTTTCTCTTTCAATTTTCACATGTTACCAATATAGGTGGGGTGAAGAAAAAATAAGGAGGTGCATGTAAAAATTGAAATAAGGAGGAAAGATGTGTGAAAAAAAATACTAAATTAAATGTTGTAAATGTAAAATAAAAAAATTTAAAACAAAAATTTAAAAATATTTTAAAATTTTAATTATTTTTTTAAAAAGAGGTGTACTTATAGAAAAAAGGAGGTGTATATATCATGAACCTAAATTTTGCATGCAGCTAGCTTCAAGCCCAAATCCCAAACGCCAAATATTTACTTTTATTATTGAGCAAAAAATGATTGTTGCTTTATTAGAAAGAGAAAAACAATGTAACCAAACCTTTACTGCTTTATTATTTTATACATTTATTGTTCGTTTTAGCAATTAAATTAAGTTAATTTTTTCACTATTTTACACATTTTAATATAATACCTGTAATTAGTTTCTACTAAAAAAAATATGGAAAAATCGGAATTAAATTATAGAAACTGTGACAACCCAAAGATTCACCGACGAGTTCATGGGTTCAGTCTATAAGGTCAAAACCTACGCAAATAAACATTATGATAAGAAGTTGAAGTTGAAGTAGGTGAAATAAAATTAATGATCTGCTAGAAAATTCAATAACATGTACAAAGTCCATTCCTATTTTTTTATTAATTTACCTATTAGATACTTAATATATATATATATATATATATATATATAATCATGATCTTTTATTTATTTATTTATTATATATGTCAATAATTTATAATAAATGATGATATGCGATTAAATGTTTTTAATTATTTTGTGATGCATAACATTTACATTTAGAATAAGGTGTGATTTATTTTTTATGAATGTATAATAAGACTTTTGTTTCTAATTTTGATATTTGATTTTAGCTTAATTTAATATTTGGGCTAAGATGCATCATCATTTTGGATTTGCGTCAACGACACTTTTTTTTTTTTTTTACTGAATAAATGAGTAAATAACAATGCGAAATGCAAACGTTATTCAGAAAATAAGAATATTTCTTTTTCTTTCCCATTTATGCATAGAAGGTTTTGTAATTTGGGTCTATAGTAAATGGAGTTTGGGTTTGGATTTCCTCAACTACTTTCTATATGGGCCTAGCCTCATTAAACATGTTGAAGACCAAATAATGAAAAGCCCATAGAAGTGGAAGAAGGGAAGGACTATAAATTTTGGGCTCATGATATAGACACCTCCTTTTTTTTATAAGTACACCTCCTTTTCAAAAAAAATTATAAAAAATTATAATTTTTTTTAAAAAAAATTAATTTTATACTTTTAACTTTCAATTTGCTTCTTTCTTCTTTTTATTTACACACTTTTTTTTTCTCTTTCAATTTTCACATGTTACCAATATAGGTGGGGTGAAGAAAAAATAAGGAGGTGCATGTAAAAATTGAAATAAGGAGACGAAGGTATTACCTGCAAATAAAATTTCGCAGGAAAATTTTTAGGAATAACGTTTCCTGCGAATTTTTTTATAAAAATTCACAGGAAAAATCGCATGTAATAAGAGAAATTATAGTAATGACATGAACTCACCATTAGAAAGAGTTTGGATACAAAGAATCTTATCCAAATCCATTTGCTAACTCCATCATATTGATAGGATATTGTCCAATTTGAACCTAAATTCTCATAGTTTTATTTTTAGACATCACTCAAAAGATCTATTAACAATGAAGATAATTAAATGTATATAAACTCATGTTCATTCTATTATAGCGATGTAAAATTTTGTTTCCATTCCAATATATATATATATAT